TTCTGGGAGTTGAAGTCCACTCATCTTAAAGTGGCCATGTTTGGACAACACTGTATTAAGCATTCAGTTTTTTCCCTGCTAAGTATCTCTGGATGTCGCCCTGACCCCTTCCAGGAGCTGTTTTTTTTTTAATTTGCTAGGCTCTATCCCCTTAAATTGAATATTTCTATGGTCCTAGGTGCGTGAACAGCTACAGAATTCCTCTCTTTGACCCTACAGTTTTGTGGGATCCCACAGTTCCCATCTCCCTGCTCCCTGGTCATGGTGATTTGGCCTTATGATAATTGTAGTCCAATCACATCCATGGACTCATGGTTGGGAAATGCTGTCTTAGAATAAATTGCTTCTGACAAGAGTTAGGAGTTCTCTTATTTTGTTATGGTAGAGAAGGACATTCTTATTTCTTACCTCTCTGGGGCTCTGGATATTCAGGTTTTTGATCCCAGTTGCATCATCATAACGCTCTCTGTTTTAAAACCCTGTCTCACTGCTCACTGAGACAATTCTTTCCAAATGAGTGATTTTAAAGCAAACATGTTGTGTTCTGCATTGGAGTGGTAGAAAACCTATCTAAATTAACCTTGCATTTCTTGTTAAGGTACCCACAGCTCACTCCCAAAAACAAGGAGTCCATGGATGTGGGCAGAGACATTTTTGCCAAGTTCTCTGCATACATCAAGAACCCTCATAAAGAAGCAAATAAAAGTAAGTAGGGGGGAACATATACATGTTTTTCTCATGCAGGCATTTTTTTAAAAAAAGATATCTTCCAAATGTCTTTGCCTGTTTTGCTAATCCACTAGAGGTGAACAAATGGTTCATTGGTTTCCATGTCATCTTCTTGGGCTTCAGATTTGGAAAAAGCTTTGCTGAAAGAGTTCCAACGCTTGGATGATTACTTAAGAACCCCTCTGCCAGAAGAAATTGACCAAAATTGTGCAGAAGACATTCTGGTTTCTGAGCGGAGGTTCTTGGATGGAAACTGGATGACCTTAGCAGACTGCAACCTGCTTCCAAAACTCAACATCATCAAGGTGAATGTTTCTTGGTCTTTGATGGCCCTCATTCCACTTTCTCAGATGAGTTACAGCCCAAGTTCCATCTTCCTTTCTCATCCACAATTGTGGTGAATGCAGTCTCCCCCATCTTTATTTTAATGTTTGGCAGTTGCCTTTTTGAAAGAAATGGACAAATGAAAAACATATATCCAGAATGGTATAACTTTAAGCTTTATTATCAACTTTATGTGTTAAACTTCAAAAATATGTTGGAAGTGATCTGCTCATTTTCTCACTGGCATCTTTCTCTTCATGGGTTCTTCCCCACTTTCTAGATTGCTGCAAAGAAGTATCGCAACTTTGAGATCCCCTTGGAGATGACGGCACTGTGGCGCTATCTGCACAATGCTTATGCCCGGAATGAATTCAGCCACACTTGTCCAGCTGATGAGGAGATCGAGCGCACCTATGCCAGCGTGGCTAAGAAGATGAGCTAAAGACCAGGTTCTGGAAGTTGGTGCCTGCAAATGTCTGCCAGGGAGTTGGGTGTGCAATACTGACCCCAAACTGGACACTCTTAACATACTAGTCCTTAAAAAAAAATCCTTTGTATTTTTTAGGGGGAGAATCATTCTACTCAGCTTCTTCTGCCAAATCTTTCGCCCATGAGTTGACTGTATATATTGGATTCTTCTTTGGTGTTTCTTCTTCCGCCTGCACCCCTTTTCATGGAGCAAAAGTAGCTAAATTTGATCCCCCAACATGGTGAGTCCTAGGCTCTGTCCAGCCAGCAACACACAAGAGATGCCAGGGCAACAAGGCAGTTCTTCAACACTTCCGATACTAAGAAATATTGGCTGATAAAACACTGCCCTATTGAGGAACATTAGGTGCCTCTGTGCCTGGGAACGGTATTTTTCCCACCCAGACTTCTAGGTTGGGGGCTGTGAATAGCCTGAGCACCATCCTTGTTTTTGCCGCTCTTGAACACCAAAGGTGCCCTCTCTGGTTGACGAGAAGAAGCTCTGAAAAACGTCTGCACGTGATGCACTTGGAACACTGAGGGTTGAGCAGACCCTGCCCTGTTGAGGACCCTTGTCCTTCTCCTGGCCAGGGCTGAAGCAAGCAGTGGGTGAGGCTATAGTCCAAAAGGGTTGGGCAAGCTAGTCTCTCCTCCCTTGGTCTTCCTGCCCTTTCTTGTTCTCTTTCTGATCAGCAGCATGCAGCTACTGTAGAGAAGACTCAGAAAGTTCTTTTCGCAGATCTGAATGAATTGCTTGCAGAAAGCTCTTAAAATCAGGGCAAGGGCTGCCTCGCACCCTAGGGCTGTAAGTTCCCCACCTCTGCCTGAACCCTTTTCAAGGGTTGGCTTGTGTTAATCTCCCAGCCCTTCTCTGCTCTTAGGAGGAAGAGCTGGTAAAAGTAAATAGAAAGCAGCTGTGGTGGAACCAGCCCTCCTTAGCTCTTAGGTGGGTGTGGTTTGCCTGCTTTAACTTGTGAGAATGTATTGGTAGGGCAGGTTTGTAGGCTTCCGAAAAGGAAATCAAGAGCTGAGAAGGAAGGCAGGAAGGAAGGAAACTGCCAAGCGGGAGATCTCAGACTCGGCGCTGCTGAAAGTCACGGCAGGTTGAAACCGCCCGAGATCAAGCCCACCTGGCCCGAGGCATCCTCGCTTCACAAATGCAAACTCGAGGCTCACTGGCTTTGCTCAGCAATGCAGAGTGAAGCCAAAGGGCTCAGAGAAGCTACTGCAGTTGGGCGAAATGCTCTTTTTCAAGACCAGAGCAGGGAGCCTTTAGTCTGGGGAGACTATCCTGAAGGATTTGGGGGGAGAAGGAACAAGGGCCCCAATAGGTGAGATGGTGGTGCAGAGGGGGCTGAGGAGTGACTCTTTTTATAAAAAAAAATTGGGTGTTCATTTCTTCTTTCTCCTTTCAACTGCATTAAATCTATTCTAGGGCTTGTATGAGAAAGTGGGCCCATTTTGCCCCTGATTTTCCGCAGTCGTGCCCGTGAAATCCAGAGATGTGGATGGAGGCGATGCTGGGGGAACACTGTAAAAGAAAAAGGATCCAGGGTCATTGGAACTTGGGATTAGCAAATAGCCCACCCTCATTTTAAATACCAGTAGTCCTTATTTAGTGACCACAATTGGGACCAGCAATTTGGTTGTTAAGTGAAGAGGTTGTTACCCGAAACCATGACTGTGCATATGATCTGACTTCAGCTTTCTTTTGCTTCATAGACCGGCAAAGGTCATAAATGTGAGGGCTGGTCATAAAGTTACTTTTTCATCATTGTCGTAACTGAGAACAGTCACTAAAAGAGGCAGTCACTAAATGAGGACTGTCTGTAATAGGGGACAGTGACATGTGTAAGAAGGATACCCTGAGCTGGAGGTGGAAGCAGATCTATGTATCCCTGGGGTGACTGACAGCAATACTCCCATTAATCTGGTCTGTACATTATCCTAAACGAGTGTTTCTCAACCGTGACCGCTTGAAGATGTGCGAATTTCAACTCTCAACTCCAAATTCTGGGAGTTGAAGTCCACACATTTTCAAGTGGCCAAGGTTGAGAAACACTGTCCTAAACCATCATAGGGTATGTTTGTTTTTATCTTAGCATAATATGCAAATCCTGTGGTTTATTTAACAAGCTAGTTTTTGCTTGCCTGGTTGGGACTTTAGAGACTGTTACAACCCTGTTTACCATTTTGCAACAACGATGTCCCGGCTCCTTGGTGTCAAGGCTGTACCTTGCGGCCTCTCTCGGGGGACAAGCGTCTTGCAAGTTGAAGTTGTCCAGCATACAAATAGGTAACATAACAAGATACTGTACATGAATAATAAAAGCAGAGATAGAAGTATTCATAAATTGAGGGAAATTGGGAAATTGAGTATGACTGAAGAGCAAATGCCTTGGAAAGACCTAATCATTTTTCTGAGTTTCTTATGTGAGAGATGCATTAGGAGTCACAAAACACTACGTCACAATATCTATAAGAGCTTTTCAACTTCCTCTGCAGCAAAGAAAGGAAAATCCTGGGCTTTAAAAAAAAAGAAAATAGATGTGTCTGTTTACTTTGTATTACTGTAATGATAATAAACTTTATTTTATATACAACCTGCACTGCTCACTTGGATGTTGTATATGGCAGGTACTAATATGTAAAAGAAACACACAGGCTCCAAGTGTTTCTTCCATCAAAGAAAAACTCAGCTAAAATGGTCTAGCTGGTTCTCTAGGTCTTAAGCGCATACCTTGTATGCAAACGATGCAGGGATCCAACATAAAACACCTTCCAGAAATAATGGAACTCTTTTGAGGCTCGGTGTCATAAAGATTGCTTGGTTATTTGATGCAAATGGGGTTTGATAAATCCCAAACCAAAATAAGGCTAAAACTCAGCCTTGTCCCCACTTCATTCTGAATAGGTCTCATCTAAAAAAAAAAACTCAGGCTAACATATTTAAAATGACCTCACCCCAATATTTACAAAACTGGAAGAGCAGGAAGGAGAAAAGACTAGCATTCTCCTCCCAGTTTGTTGAGCTTCATAAATCTGTCAGGAGGGCTGCTGAACTTTGTTTTTCTCACAATCCAAAATTAAATCCTGTCTCATGCTGTTCATGAGAACAAAGCTTTAGCCTGTGGTTCCAAGCATGTTCATTAAAATCGAATGGGTATGCTTCCAAGAGGAGAGCCATGTTAAGCTACGGTAGCCACAAATCAGAAGGAGTCCAGTAGCAGCTTTTCAGATGAATAAATTTTGTTGAAAGATAAGCTTTCATGAGTGACAGCTCCCTTCATCAGATGCAGAGGATCTATAAGCTTCATCAGATGCATGGAGCTTCTGCATCTGATGAAGTGAGCTGTAGGTCACAAAAATGTATGCCTTTTAATAAAATCTGTTCTGAAAAGGTGCTACCTTCTGATTTCTGGGCAAGATTGGGTTCTTGATTTCAGTGGGAACATGCTTAAGATATCTGCCACCTCTTTTTTACAAGATGGACTACAGCAGTACCTGTTTTACAAATTGCTCTCCAGCAGAAGGCCATCACAGAGATCAGAAGTATTTTATTTACAACGCAGTGCAAAGTGTTTAATCATGACCAACATAACATGTTTGTCTAAGTGAAGTGATGAGTGGCTGTAAAAGTGAAAACCCACATCCTGAGCAGGCTTGATCTGGAGATGTTCTCTTGGAGAGAATTCGGGGTGGGGATGCAGCTTGCGCAGATGTGGAATAACCGTTTCCCAGCTTCAGTTGGTGACGCAATACTTCCAGAAACAAGCTGAAAAAGAAAAAGAAGAAAAAAACAATTAATGGCAAGGAACAGTCTGTGTTTTTCGTCCTTTGGAAGGCTTCTTCCGGTCTGATGCTATTAGAATTGCACCACTATGAGCTCTCCTTGATGCTAGCTAGCTTCCACTCTGGCAGGTTGGGAATTAGGGGGACTGGAGTCCACACATCTGGATGGTATTAGATTAGAGGAAGCTCTCCTATGGGGAGATGTAACTCAAAGCAATCAACATCCCTAAATTTCCCCCGATCTCACCCTCATCCATGTGTGAAATGTGTTTCCCATGCAGTCACCTCCTTCCACCAAAATTGCTAACTGTGGGCAAAAAGTTGTCCGTTCAGCAGGGTCCATGTCAAGCTACAATGACATCAGGATGATAATACATGCATCATGATGTCATTGGGCAAATGGTGCAATTATGTAATGCAGCCATGACATCTGATCCACGTATATCAGTCCCATCTTTTGCATGTTGATGGCATGATGTACGTGTCATCATATGCCCCCCCCCACACCCATGTATCTAGTCCTACTTCAGGAGCAATAAATAGTTGGCAGCTGTATGTGATTGTTTGGGGCATGTTTTAAGAAAGGAAATATGTATGTTTCACCTCACAAGGGTGTGGCACATCCTTTTCACCCTTAAGGTTTAAATTGAAATAGAACCTCCCCAAAGCAAATGTTTGGTTTGTACTGCAATATCAGGATCCTTTAGGGGCTGCAAATAAGCAGCAGGGGGGTGACCTGGGGGCCAATAGCTGTGGATTGCCCATCCCTGTTCTATATGGGCAACAGAGTTCCTCCAAGAGGAATAAGAACCAAGCTAATTTTTGCTGATCTCAGAAAGTTAAGCAGGGTCAGGACTGGTTAATACTTGGATGGGAGACTACCAGGGAGTCCAAGAGCTGGAGACTAACCTGGGAAGTTGGAAAAAACATCCTGCAAAAGAGCAATGAGGTGTCTATGAAGTCACCAGTGGTTGAACTCAACTCAAAGGAGATTGAGATTGAGGTCCAAAGAGAGCTCACCTCTCTTGTTGGGTTTCTGAGGAGACTGATCTGCTTTGACAAAAGCTTGGGTCCGGAGTTTATCTGCAGCTGCCAATTTCCATAGAATTGCCTTGACGTCTTCAATCTAAAAAATAACATTACAACAATGACCAAGGGCTTATTGGGGAAGAATGACCCTGCTAAACCTGGAACAAACATCCTTCAGAATGTGCACTACTCTGAATTTTGCAATGTATTCCATCAACGAAAGGTACATCTTTGTGAAAATATGGGTACAAGGCACGGGGAGGGGGGAATTATCTGTAAAACTCATGAACACTGGGCAATCTTGCAGGTGAAAAAACACATGCTTGGAGAAATGTGCACCAAAATCTATACAGATGAAAATGCATTTTTAAATTAAAAAAAAAACCCAAATGAAAACAAGACCGGGGAAATGAATGTATGAGTGAGGAAATGAAGAAAAATGAATTGGACAAGTTCAGTCATCTTCAGTAGCCTCAGACCATGGCCTGGTCTGAGCGTAGGCGTGCAGTATGTAAATTAGTCCTTTTTACCCACAACAAATTGAACAGATTGCCTAGAACACTCACCAGATTTGCAGGGGTGTCATCCTGAGATGATTCCTTTCCTCCTACAAAGACACAAAGAGATCTAGAAATAATTTCCTCCACAAACAGCAAAGCAGAAAGAGGGAAAATGAAGGTTTGCGCCATTGAAATGTTGCATGGTTATTTTGCAAGACAAAGGAGGAGAAAGACAAGGAGACAATATTCCTGGAACATTTTATGATCTATGCACCTGTCACTTGACTTGGTCAAATCACCAAATAAATGTGAATATGAATGCCTGCGGTCTCTTTCCACTTTCTATCTTAAGCCTCTGGATTCCTGACTTCATCTCATTTTTGAAGTTGCCTGATACAGTGATTGGGAGTTTCTGGAACTAAGCACATTTGGGTGACCTTTTGAGTTGGCCCTCTACTGTTGTGCTAATACAGGTTTTGGAAATCTGTGGATCAGTTAATCTTGGTTAAGCCTGCATCTGAACAAGTACTATTTGTCAAGAAGGGTTCATGAAATGCCATTCTTATTAGCAACTAAAGTCTCGGAAAACTAAGATGAACAGACGAGCAATCCTGCCCTGTGCCATTAGGAATGGCCCAGCAAAACACTATTAATGATCTATATTTTAAACGGATGGACTGACTTCTGTTAACAGAAGCGGACTGAATTGGGTACTTCATTAATAATCATGCAGTTGTCATATTTAGCCTCAACATTATATGTAAGAATGTAGCAGAGTAAATTGGGGGAGGGAGGTTGTCAGATTTATAACTGATTTCAAAAAAATTGAGAAGAAAAGGGAAGAAGGAGGGAAGAGGAGAACAATCCTAGGCATCAGTTCAGATCCCATTAAGTAAATCAAAGCAAAACCAAGCAAACCCCATTTCTTTCATAGGTTGGCTCATCTTTTTCAGTTGTTGTAAGATTTACTATAAGAATGTGAACAATTTTGAGCAGCAGTGGAAGTACGACATAATTGTTCATTATGGTGCAGTAGGACATTGGCAAATGAAGAACTACTTATATCCAGTATGGAAATACCTCCTGATTTTTCCCCAGAAGAGAGAAAATGAATTATGCAGTAAGGATGTGCTTAGTTAATTTAGAAAAACATTCTAAACTAGATACTAAAGGCGGAAATGCAATGAGGACTGAGATTAAGAAGCAATCTTGTCTGACGCTTTACTTGCATTGTCCCAATGAAGGTGGAGAGGACAGGAGAGGAAAGGATGGTAAACCATTCAGCTTCACTAACCATTCCACCATCCACCTTTCTGGATCTGATTAATTTCTTCTTCCAGAACAGAGCGAGCTGAATTCATATTCCGAGGCTGACGAAGCCCAATAGCAGGTACATCATCAGGTACAAAGCCCATTGTGTTGTCCACCAAGTTAAAATCTGTAGGCACAAAATCTGAGCAGAAGGGGGGGGGGATGGTTTCCAACTCTAAAAATATCTTAAGAGGAAGTAGACAGACCAGTATACAAAATGGACAACATTCTAATGAAAAACAGAAGCTAAGGACCCAAATTCTGAATTCTCTACTTTGGGCTTATGATATCGTCAAGAAATGATGTCTTTCTGATAATATCAACCCAAGTCTGACTTCAGTTCCATGGAAGACCAAGAACCCTGGTATAAATTTAAGCCAATTTTCTCCATTTGGAAGAATCCAAAGTAAATTTCATGCTGAGTGCCAGAACCATTATAAAGGCCATCAGTTCTCTTTGGGCCAAGTAATGTCTTCCTTTCTTTTAGAATGCAAGAACTTCGGGTCCTCCAGTGGGACTGCCTGGAGTCACTTGAAGGCCAGAAGTATGCTTCCCTATGGCTGCTATTCATCCATGGATTTTAATGATAGATCATTACATTAGGTAACTTTATAGCTGAAGTAGACAAAGCCTAGAGGCTGGTTTTATTCCTCTTACATGGGACTTTGTTGTACAAAACCAATGTGATGTACTGAAGGCCAGTTGCTTGGAAACAATGAAAATTGTTGAATATATAGCCTAGCTTACAGGCTTCCCAAATTCATGGCCACTGTAGCAATCCAAAGAGTGTACAAGGCCAGCCTTCCCCTGCCTATCATCCTCCAGATGTGTTGGAAGAACAAACCCCATCATTCCCATGTTGGAGAAGACCTGATCCAGCAGGGCTCTTCTTACATCTTATGCACCTGAAAGCTAATATGAAATAATCATAATTCTGATTCATGATTAGCAACAGTCCTTACCTTGCATGCCATCAATATCTGGATAAACTGGATAAGCATTCATACAGCAGCCTGCTGAAAGCATTAAGAGGACAAACACCATCTGGGGATGCATCTCTGTTTCTCTTTTATCCCTTTGCAGCTTGGACCAATCATGAGAATCACAAGCAGAAGGGAACTTCTTTTATACCTTCTCCATCCATCTATCTCTGCAAGATCAATACGTTATCATCAACTTGCAAATGATTCTCATTGTCCAAGCCATCCATCCACTTCAATGTCAAACCAACAAGCGTTATTACACATTTTGTCATCCTGGTGCATCATTTTTGCCCTCCCCTTTTATGCTTCTTTTGTATCATCGCTTGAACAGGTAGCCCTTAATAAATATTTGGTCTGGACTGGAGAGTTCACCATTGTTTATTTCAATCCAGACAAACCTGGAACAGAAACAGTAAATTGACGTCAAACGCTTGTTGAAATTGACATTGATTTTGGCCTGGACTGAATGGGATTGAAAGTAAAATGGATGCAAGCTTTCTTTAGGTATGAGTTGTTAATCAGCATTTCCTTTTTACATACTATTTCTCTACAAACACCATCTGCCCCTTCCATAAAACAGGAGAAGCATGCTTCTGGTGGCAAATATCTCCCCCTTAGTGATCTACTTCACTCCCACTTCTTAATAAAGCTTTGTTGGAATCAAGAGTCCTTCGATTCCACAACAGGTAGAGTTGTGAAACAACACATAAGGTGTAAGAAGGGTTTGTTGCAATAGTTTATACTCCAGATATCACAAAAATGTCCACTGTTATAGTTGGACTGTGAGCAGGACTCAGTTTCTCACCCTTATTCTCTTCCAGAAGATGTAAATTAATTGCCCTTGCTGCCTCCTGTTGATTGATTGATGAAGAACCATCAAGTTGGTGTTAATGACCACTTGGATAGGTTCTGTTCAAAATGGTCTGTCTTTAGCATGGCCTTTTAAGCCTCTTAACGGTGCACGCATAGCTCTCATAACTTAACCCATCCACTTTGCTGCTCTCTGTCTCTTCCTCCACATTATATGTCGAAAATATGACAGAGCCTGGTCATTAGTGCTTCCAGTGAGAATTACAGAAGATCAGTCCTATGATTCATGTGTTTGTTTTCCTGGCTGCTCACGGTATCCTTAAAAGTCTTCTCTAGCACCAAAGTTCAAACGCTCATTCTATCTTGTTTCTTCAAAGTTCAGCTTTCATATCCATAGAATGTGACAGGAAAAAACATTGCCTGAACGATTTTGAACTTCATTGGTATAGACGCATCACAGCATTTAAATATTATTCCTAAGACCTTCATTGCATTACCAAACGCTGGTCTGCAGTATATTTTTTGACTGCTGGATCTTTGCTGTTGACGGTTGATTCAAAAATGTTGTATTAGTTTAACCTTCTTCACATTCTACAGCTCTAAAAGAAGCTAGGGTACTAGGGTTAGGGTTGTAGAATTCCTAATCCATAACCCTTTCGGTAGGGCATGACTCTGCCCTGGATAATCTAACTCTGACCTTTGCATCCAAGCCCATATTTTTTTCCTGGTTTCAGGATTCTGGGGGTGGGGGGCAAAGTAGATGGTCAAATCCATGCACTAGGAAGTCCACCACTACAGCATAACACCACCAACCTTCTCCCACTTCCTACTGTGACATTTACAGGCCACTTTCTCCAAACATTAAACCTTCATTTTGCTATGCAGCAGTGTTTCTCAACCTTGGCCACTTGAACATGTGTGGACTTCAACTCCCAGAATTCCCCAG